AATATCATTTTCGAGAGTAAAGACGAACGTGCAGAAAGTTAGAGAGAAAGTTTTACCCTTTTTTTATTTTTTTTATTGTTTCTTTATTTCTTAATGTCACATTTTATAAGAATAAATATATTCTGCTGAGTATTTCGTTGAAAAATAAAAATTTATTTTTTTTTGTTTAAACAATCAATTTAAAATTTTTATTTTAAGTCTTCACTCTCTCTGTTATTTTCACTATATATATATATATATTGTCATTTGTGATTTATTTTTAAGAGTGTGTGATATTACCCATTTCGAAGTCAGCCAAGTGTAAATTGAACATTGTATAAATACGAGGCTGAAAATGATACTAATTTAGAGATTCTTGGATGTATTGTATTATAAAAAAAAACAGATGCCAATTTAGAAACGAAAGTGTATATAATGGAGAAATTATGAGCTATTTCGAAATAATGAGATTTTTTAAGTAACACCCAATTTAATGGAATTGTAAGTCGAGAAAATATTTTATTTAATTACATAATACTAATTTATCCTGCTGGAAGTGAAAAAAAAATATATTACTGAAAAAAATATAGAATTATGGGGATAGAAAAAGATTTAATTTCTTTTTTCTATTTTAGAAAAAAGGTGAAAAATATTGAAATTTGGAAAAAGACGAGATTAAAAAAAAATGATATAAAAAAGTTATAAAAGAAGATAAATAAAATCATAAAATACCAATTGAATACAAATTTAATATTTGAATACCAGTTGAATACCAATTTTGATAAAATACCAACTGAATACCAATTGAATTGAAATATGAGGCGAATAGAAATTACGAAACTAAAAACTAAATAAATTCCAATTGAATTTAAATACTAGGTGAATACCAATTGAAAATAATTATACAAATGAATACATAATGAATCCAATTATCAATTAAATATGAACTGAAACTGAATAAATAATTGAGTATTCAGTGAACGTAACTACCAACTGAATACCAACTGAAACTGAATAAACAACTGAGTACTCAGTAAACGTAACTACCAACAGAATACCAACTGAAAATACATAAACAACTGATTACTTAAGGAACCAAATTATCAAATGAATACCAATTATAAATAAACAACAAATACAAAATAATTATATAACTAAATACTTAATGAATCTAACTACCAATTGGATACCAACTGAAAATAAATTAACAACTGAGTACTCAGTGAAGTTAACTACCAACTGAATACCAATTGTAAATAAATAAACAACTGAATACTTAAGGAACTAAATTACCAAATGAATACCAACTGAATACCAACTGAAAATATATAAACAACTGATTACTTAAGGAACCAAATTACCGAATGAATACCAACTGAATACAAATTGTAAATAAACAACAAATACAAAATAATTGTATATCTAAATATTTAATAAATTAAACTACCAATTGAATGCGAACTGAAAATAAATTAACAACTGAGTACTCAGTGAACTTAACTACCAACTGAATACTAATTGTAAATAAATAAACAATTGAATACTTAAGGAACTAAATTACCAAATGAATACTAACTGAATACCTATTATAAATAAACAACAAATACAAAATAATTATATAACTAAATACTTAATGAATCTAACCACCAATTGGATACCAACTGAAAATAAATAAACAACTGAGCACTCAGTGAATATAACTACCAACTGAATACTTAATGAACTCAATTAGCAATTGAATACCAACTGAAAATAAATAAACAACTGAATACTTAACGAACACAATTACCAATTGAATACCTACTGAAAATAATTATATAACTGAATGCCTAATGAACCTAACTACCAATTGAATACCAACTGAAAATAAACAAACAACTGAGTACTCAGTGAACATAACTACCAACTGATTACTTAATGAAACTAATTACCAATTGAGTACCAACTGAAAATAAATAAACAACTGAATACTTAGCAAACACAATAACCAATTGAATACCAACTGAAAATAATTATATAACTGAATGCTTAATGAACCTAACTACCAATTGAATACCAACTGAAAATAAATAAACAACTGAGTACTCAGTGAACATGACTACCAATTTGATACCAATTGTAAATTTTGTTAATATCAATTTTTCATAATTTAAGTTTATTAAATTAATAATTAATTAATTATATCAACATTTCGATTGTTGTAACTTTGTCAGATGAAGTGAACTCTTTAGAGAAGAGATCAGTCGTGATAGACGACAGCTGTCAAACCACAAGAGAATATTGATTCCCCTTTAATGAGCCACTATAGCTTGTCAGATGAGGATGACTTGATGAGCTGAACAAGAATATTTATGTATGTGTGTGTGTGTGTATGTTTGAGCAAATTGACTCGTGCGCGATGAAACTGTTAACCATACTTGATTAAATTTCAATCTATAATTATGATAAAGTGATAACATAAAAAAGAAATTTATTTTATTCAAATAATAATTTCTTTATTTGAAACAAAATAGCATTTAATTGGCTTAAATAAATATTTATTTGATACGTAAGTAAACATTTATTTGATACCAGTAAATATTTATTTGATACCCAGTAAATATTTATATTTGATACCAATAAATATTTACTTGATACCAGTAAATATTTACTTGATACCAGTAAATATTTACTTAATACCAATAAATATTTATTTAATACTAGTAAAGTAACTGATTATTTGCAAAAAATAACTTTTTTTTAGTGTACATTATCAACAAAAAAATACAATTTTAGAATTAATAAAAAAATAATTTTAAAATCCGTATTAATTTTTAAAAGAACAAAAAAATTAGAAACTGATCAAAAATAATAATAATAATAATTAACAAAAAAAATGGGTTATCCTACTATATATTTTAGCGAAAATAAAAAATTGTCAACTTTTGCAAATTTTCTAGTCACTTAACCGAACAATAAAAACTTCTTTTTATTGCTCGTAAAAAAGAAAAAAAAAAAATTTTTTTTATGAAGAGAAAATTTTATATATTTTTGTGTCACTCTTCACGATATATATATATATATATGTGATTATAAAAGAATTATAGAAATTTTCTTTTTTTTTCTATTTTTTTTTTCATTTGTAATTATTTCTATTAAAGAAATAAAGTGTTTTGCATACATATTTAAATATACATTTTTTTGCTGTCATAAGAGAGCAGAGAGAGAGAGACTCTTTTAACCTTGTTTACATGTTGCATCGAGGGAATAACTAATCACGTACGCGAGCCATTTTCTGGCTGACTTAATTAGAAATTACTGCAAACCAGACGAGAAAATAATTAACAGAGCTCATTCATCACTATCATTTTATACTTTAACAACTTTTTTTTTTTTTTTTTAAAAAAAAAAACTTATTTTCTCTCCTATTAAAGAATAAAAAAAAATATTACTCGATAATTTATATAACTGTATTTATTTTTAATAATAAAATAACAATAATAATAAAAATAATACTAATAATAATAATAATAATATTTTTTACAAGACTTATGCTCAAAATTAAAATAATGATAAAATGAATAAAAATTGAATTTAATTACCAGTTGAATACCAACTGAATACCAACTGAATACCAATTAAATACCAATTTAATTACCAGTTGAATACCAACTGAATACCAATTAAATACCAATTTAATACAAATTGGAAAAGTACCAACTACATAACAATTAAATATAAATACTAATTGAATACAAACAGAATCAAAATAGTAAATGAAATACCAATTAAATTTAATTACCAGTTAAATTCCAACTGAATATCAATTGAATATCGACTAAATACCAACTGAATACCAACTAAAAAGTAACAACTACGTGCTAATTAAATATAAAACCAATTGAATACAAACAGAATAAAATTACAAAATAAATACCAATTGAATATCAACTGAATAATTATTGAATTTAAATACGAGTTAAATTATAAATTACGAAACTAAATATCAAATAAATCCCAATTTGAATTTAATACTAGTTGAATACCAATTAAAAATAATTAAAAAACTGAATATTCAGTCATCATAACTACTAATTGAATACGAACTAAAAATAAACAACTAAATACGCAGTGAACCTCATAATCAATTTAATACCAACTGAAAATAAATAACTGATTTACTCAGTAAATATAACTACCAACTGAATACCAATTTAATACCAGCTGAACACAAACTGAATACCACTTTAATACAAACTAAAAGTACCAACAACATACCAATTATTTATAAATAAACATAAATAATAAATATTAATTAAATACAAACAGAGTCAAAATAGAAAATTAATACCAATTGAATTTAATTACCAGTTAAATATCAACTGAATATCAATTGAATACCGACTGAATACCAATTGAATTTAAATACCATTTAAATACCAACTGAATACCAATTGAATTTAAATACTATTTAAATAACAATTGAAAGAAAATACTAACTAAAAGAAAATACCAACTGAAAGAAAATACCAACTAAAAGAAACTACCAACTGAATACCCGTTAAATACAAATTGAAACAAAATAGCAACTTAAGAAAAATTAAGTATTTAAATACCATTCAAATACCAATTTGAAGAAAATACCAACTAAATACTAATTGAATTTATGCACAAAATTTAATATAAATTGAAAGTAAATATAATATATATTCCATTCCATTTTTAATTAACTATTAATTATCACCTGGAAAAAAACCAACTGAATACCAATTGAATACAAAATGATACTTGAATACCAACTGAAGGAAAATACCAACTGAATACCCATTGAATACTAACTGATGTGAAATACCAATTGAATACAAATGTAATATTTAAATACCAGTTGAATACCAATTTAGATGAAATACCAACTGAATAATTATTATTTAATAAAAAATTTAAAAAGTATTTATAATAAAAAAAATTATTTAAAATAATTAATAATTAACAATTTTTGAATGAGATAATTGCAATTATTATTTGTCATTTTTTTTTTACAGTGAAGGAAGTCAATGCGAGAGTCATGGAAGTCAATCATCGACTCAGGAACGTCGGAAGCTTTTAAAACGTACCCGAAGTTTGGCTGTTATTTCCGAAGACGAATCTCGCTACACTCGTGAGATTCCTCATTTTCGAATTAACGAGCCTAATTTCAACTTGACCCGGCGACCTCAATTGATCCCAAGGCCCAAATTGATTGATCGTAATTCACTCAAATATAGGTCAGTGAAAGAAAAAAAAAATATAATTCACTTTGTCAATTTTTTAATTCTATTATTTCTATTATTGAAAATTGTTTTAAAAAAAGAAAAGAAATTCCTTTTCACGATTTATAAATTAATATTAAATAATTTAATAATTAATTGATATTTAAAATATAGAAACAAAAATACTATTTAAAATACACAAAAAAATAATATTTAAAAAAAAAATGTTACTGACAAAATTTCATTAACTGAAATACGTTCGAAACATCAAAGAAGCGCGCATTGTTCCTTTGAAATGTTGGGAAATTAATAAATCTTTATTTTCTTTCATATACAAGAATTTAAAAACTGCTACCTTCGTTCATCATTATTGACTATATATTTTATCAACGTTGCTTTTATTAGAAGCTTGATTAAATTTTCTGGCCTCTTCTTTTTTTTTTTTTTTTTTTTTTAGTCACAAAATAAATAAAAAAAAAACCAAAGCGAAGGACACAACATCGATCTTTGAACGAAATTGTCACTTAAAAATAATATCTCTAATAATAATACAAATTAACTGTTTTCAGTTGAGATTATATTTTATTTTCTATTATAGTGATAAAGTTGAAAACAAAAAAATAATTTTAAAAAAAAAAACCTTTTTATTTTAGATTGTCAAAGAGTCAGCAGCAATTATTTGATTCATATGACAAATTTACTGACACAAAATCCAATCAATCAAAATCGTCATGCACACTCTATTCACCACCACCATTGACATTACTTCCGGATCCTTTGCCCTATGTACGTGGCAATAAATCAGAATCGGATCGTCTCAATATTTTAGATTGGCCCGATTCATCGAGAAAATATTGCAGTGTTCAGAATTTAGATACTGTATCAGGATTGGTGGAAATTGTTGAGGATAATTGGCCATTGGAGGAAAATCGTAGTCTCGATTGTATTTACACGCAGGTAATTGAAAATTTTATTTACATATTGTGGGAAGGGAGGCGGGAGCGCTAATTGGCTGCCGTAGTCGAGGAGAGGTAGGCGCGAGCGTTGATTGGCTGCCGGAGTCGAGGAGGGGGAGAGGGAACGATTTCCATTTGACCTTGGAACTTGGGAAGGGAGGCGCGAGCGTTGATTAGCTACCGGAATTTTAGAGGGGAGTCCCAAAGTTGTCAAGGGAGCGATGGAAGGGAGGCGCGAACGTTAATTGGCTGCCGGAGTCGAGGAGAGGGAACGATTTCTAATTAACCTTGGAACTTGGAAAGGGAGGCGCGAGAGTTGATTGGCTGCCAGAACTTTGGATGGGAGTTCAAAGTAGTTAAGGGAGCCATAGAAGGGAGGCGCGATTGTTAATTGGCTCCCGGAGCTAAGGAAGGGAAACAGTGATCGGCTCCAAGTCGTCAATAGAACTTGGGAGGTGAAGCGCTAATGCCGAGTGGCTGGCAGAGTAATGGAAGGGAGGCGCGAGCGTTTATTAGCTACCAGAACTTTAGAGGGGAGTCCCAAAGTTGTCAGGGGAGCGATGGAGGGGAGACGCTAGCGTTTATTGGCCGCCAGAGTCGAGGAGAGGGATATCAAACATTTTCCAGTTGACCTTGAAAATTAGGAAGGGAGGCGCCAATGCCGGTTGGCTTGCGGAGTGATGGAAGGGAGTAACGCTCGTTGATTAGCTAACGGAACCTTAGAGGAGAGTCCCAAAGTTGTCAAGGGAGCGATGGAAGGGAGGCGCGAACGTTAATTTGCTGCCGGAGTCGAGAAGGGGGAGAGGGAACAATTTCCATTTAACCTTGGAACTTGGGAAGGGAGGCGCGATTGTTGATTGGCTGCCAGAACTTTGGAGGGAAGTCCAAAGTAGTTAAGGGAGCCTGTAACACAGTCACAGTCTTTCCCTTATATACTATAGTTTCCCTTATTCTGTTCATCGTATGTCGCTATAGTCTATTCCGCTTTGACTTGGTTCCTCTCATTATATTTAAATTCAATTGCTTTGCGTCTGTCTTCCGGATCGGTCGTCTCTATTACGCGTTAAGAGTGTTGGAGAGATCGTTATAAACAATTTTAAAACAAAAGTAATCGCAGTGGTTTAGTGCTGTGCACTGGTTACCTGTTTCTCTGTTATTAATTTGAATTAGGTGATATCAGTTGTAAGTTGAATAATTAATAATAATTTATGTGAATGTCTAAACAAAATTACCAATTTATACTTTCCTGGACATTTAATCCTTTTCCTTTATTCCTTTAATGGTTTATTTATTGGTAAAGCGGGCAACCAATATTATAAGCCATAGAAGGGAGGCGCGATTGTTAATTGGCTCCCGGAGCTAAGGAAGGGGAACAGTGATCGGCTGCAAGTCGTCAATAGAACTTGGGAGGTGAGGCGCAAATGCCGATTAGCTGGCAGAGTAATGGAAGGGAGCCACGAGCGTTGATTAGCTACCGTAACCTTAGAGGGGAGTCCCAAAGTAGTCAGGGAAGCGATGGAAGGGAGGCGCGAACGTTAATTGGCTGCCGGAGTCGAGAAGAGCGAACGGTTTTCAGTTGACCTTGGAACAAGGGAAGGGAGGCGCGAACGCCGATTGGCTATCGGAGTCCTTAGAGTGAAATCCAAAGTAGAGGGAGATATAGAAGGGAGACAGCTAGGGAGATCCGAGTACTGTCCCTAACAAATAAACTTCTTTATTTTCAGGTAAAACGAAAACGAAAGGAACACCGTAGTCTCGACAGTATTCTTTTCGAGGACGACGATGAATTACAATATTTCGACGTTCTCAATCTTCTGCCACTTTCCAATGTTTGTCTAGGAGAATCAGCGCCAAAAATTCCTAATCGTTGTAAAGAACGTGACGATTTTTTTGACGGTATTTTATCGATTAGCGATAAAGAAAGTACGAAAGATTTTTTCTCCACCAGTGGCAATAACGAGACTGATGAGGAGAAATCCAAAAATCAAGAGGACGAGGGAAATGATTCAAGAAAGGGATTTTGGATAGAATTGGTGAGTCCATCGAAACAGGAGAGAAAAGACTTTTGGGAGAGGTTGGATGATCAGGAGCAAAAACGACAGGTGAGAAAAGAGGTGGAGAAATTTCAATCTTTAGAGAAACAGAAAGACGAGATAGAGAAGAAAGAGGAGAAAAAAGTAGAAATTATTCAAGAAGAAAAATATTTAGAAGAAACAAAAATAGAAATTACAGAAACACAGGAGGAAGTTAAAGATGAGAAACTAGATCTTAAAACAGAATTATCAATTTTCGAAGAAACTTTAAAATCAAAAGAGGCAGAGGAGGTAAAAATTTTTCAAGCTCGAAATCCATTTCCACGTTCATCTAATGTTAAAGAATTGAGTAAATCTTTAGCTGATAAATATAAAGCAAATGTGGCAATAGTAACACCCTGTGAGGAGAAATTTAAAGTTGAAGAAGTTGAAGACGTTCGATCAATTTGGATATCAGACGAGGAGGAAGAAATGTCACGTAGACCCCAGGTGTTAAAAATAATTGACAATGATCTTACAAAACGTTGTAATAAAAATGAAAATCCATCAGAATTAATTGAAACTAAAAGTATTGAGAGTGCAAGAAATTTTTTCGAAAAGAAAAGTAATGAGAAGGAGGGATTTAAAAATTCATCTATTGAAGGAAGATTCGAAAGAATTGTTAAGGAGACAACAAATATTTTTGATAAAGCCTGTAATGTTATGAAAGGAACATTAGGATTTGAAGCACGTTCAGAGAGTTCTGATCTTGGTCTAGGTTCGGAAATTGAAAGCGATAGGAGACGATCAATTGATGAGAATACAAATGGAAAATTAGAGAAATTAGAGGAAAAAAAGGATGAATCTGAAAAGAAGAAGAATTATACAAATTTAACAAGATCGAGAAGTTGTGTTGATTCATTAGAATGTCAAGATGAACCGGAATTTAATCATGTTCGTTATAAAATAGTAAAATCGAATCTATTTGGAAAGAATATATTTAGTACATCAAAGGGTGATGTTACATATGAGGGTCTAATGGATTATCTTAGGGAATATTCATTTCAGGAATTATTATTGGACAATAATGTTGTTATCATTGAACCCGTGCGTGCGGAAGTTGAAAGGAAGCCGTCAATGAATGTTAAGAGTAAAAGTTTGCCAACTTGTCGAATATCGGGTGCTATGGAAAAAAAGAGGGAAATTACTGATGAGAGAAAGAATTTTAATGAAAAATCACAAACATGTCCTAGACAAAGTTTATTGAGGAAACATTTTTTTTATCATCCAATTCGTATTAATAAGGAATTAATTGATGATGAATTGCCTAATCCTGATACAGTTAAGAATGTGACACGAATGTTTGAGGAGACATTTAGGGCGAAAAAAAGTTTGGAGAGAGATAAAAATAGAAGTTTAAGTATGAAGGATCTTAGCGTTAAGGAAGAGGAGGGTGTTAAGAATGAGGATGGCGAATTTTATGAGAAGGTGCGGGAAAGTAGGTAAGAATTGTTCCTTTATTGTCTTTTAGAAATAGTTAAAAAAAAATTTGAAGCTAATTTTTTAATTTTTGATAAAAATAGATCTCGAAGTTCAAGTAGAGCAAAGGATTTGACGCGGCATTTTGAAAATTTGAAAAAGAAGACAAATTCTTTGGCATCGGTGGTAGGTAAAGATGAGCCAGAATGTCCTCGTAGTGAATCAAAAACAAGAATTCTTGCACAATCATTTGAGGCTAGAAGTGGACATACATCACCAAGTGATTCGAATTCATCGAATAAAAATCGTATCACTCGATTTAATCAGCATAATCGTCATCATAATTGGGATGCTGGTAGTGTTAGCTCAGGTGTTTCTAGTGATTATCCGGATACGGATCCTGCTCCTTGTACCTCCTCCGAGGATGAGGAAATCGATTGTCAGGTATTACATTTCCTATTTGCTACGTAAAAAATTTATTTCCTTTACAATTCATTCATTTTAATTATTATTATTAGAACACAAAAGTATTTTTACAAAAAAAAAAAAAAAAACATTTCCGTCAATAGGACGAGGAGATCGAAGACGAAAGTGGTCCAGGTCACTATGTCTCACAGGATGTTTTAAGAAAAATTCGCGAATGTGGAACATCAGTTACATATTATGGTGGTAAGGTCGTCAATACTTATAATGGACCAATTATTTCGCCAATGAATAATAAACACTTGAGGAGGAGAAATCAATTGCAGGACTATGTCAAGTTCCGTTTAGTTAAGAGCAATTCGTGTGATAGTCGATTGGAACTAACGGGAAAAGTTGTTGAAGAAAAGGTCAAGGTCGATAAAAATTCTGATCTAAGGTAAATGAAGGAAAAAAAATTTTTTTTTTTATATCTTAATATAGTTTTATCAAAAAGATTAAATTTTTTGATATCTATAATTATTAAAGACAATTAAAAATTAATTATTTGTAATTCAGAAGAGTCACTGTAATAATTCAAAGCATTTTTCATTATGATGAATAACAATTTAAAAAAAAATACGTTAATCCGATATGATCTAGTGGCAAGAATACCAATTGTTTTTTCTGAAAATTAATCCAATAATAATAATAATAATAATAATTACTATTTGGAAATAGAAAAAAAATCCCATATGATCTAGTGGCAAGAATACCTATTTTGTAAAAATTAATCCAAAAATAATAATGGATTTCTGTTAGGTTAGGTTTTAGGTTATAATTATAAGTTTGAGGAATTAGTGTAAGTCAAATGGAAATCTACATTATCATAAGAGGAAATTTTTTTTTTTTTTTTGCGGGAATTTTAAATTACTTATTACTAAAATAATTAAATTACTTATTGAATTATAAAAAAATTAAATTTACAAAAAAAAAATTGAAATAATTAACAGTGATTAAATATATTATTAAAATTTTCAAATTCCTTATTGTGTTTTTTTTCATTAAAATATTTTTTAAATAAAATTTATATAATAATAAATATTTATAAAATACTTGAAATATTTATTTATATATAAATTTTTATTTTTCTATTTTTCTACTTTTTATAATATTTTTTTATTTAAATATTTAATATTAAAAAAAAAATTTAATATTTTTTTTTTAATTTTAGACAATGCACAATAGCGGAAATGCCAAGTATTGAATTATCATTGTCAATGGAGAGGCAGGAGATGAAAAAAATGATGGAGGAAGAGGAGAAGGAGATAAAGAAGAAGAAGATTAAAGAATCAAAGAAAGAACCACCGGTGGTGATTGGCTCAGAGCCAAAAAAAGATGAGGGCAAATGTTTAAGAGCCGATTTTAAATTGGGAAAATTGGATGAATCAAATTCACGATTTAGTGCATTGTCAAAATGGCAAATTAATGAAAATGGATGGCGAAAAAATACTGAATTCGATAAAATGGAATTTGAAGAATTTGAAATACTTGAAGATAGTTTAAATGGAATTGACAATGAAAGTTAATAATAATAATAATAATAATAATAATAATAATAATAATAATAATAATAATAATTTATTATTTAACAATAAAATAAAATATTTATTATTTGTAATTTAATTATAAATTATAAATATTAATTTAATTATTAATATATAAATATTAATTAAATTATAAATATTAATTTAATTATTAATATAAATATTAATTTAAATGTAAAAAAAGCAAAATATCAATTTTCATTTTTGATAAAAAAAAAAAAGGAAAATTGATCAAATTTTTGCATTTTTAAGTCAAAAATTAATTCGTATTTATTTTATATTAATTACAATATTCTAATTTATAAGTTTCAATATTTTTTTCCCCCCATATATTTTTTGGAAAAAAAAAAAAATATTTTTTCGTGAAAATAATAATATTTGTATAAGTGATTCAAAAATTTTATGTAAAATGTATGTGTGTGCAATAAATTGTGAATATTTTTATTGCGATTGTAAATAAAAAAAAAAAAAAAAAAAACTTTTAAATTTATAGCGTTAAAATTTTTTTTCTTTTTGCAAAAAAATAATGAAATTCTTAATTAATTAATTTATTTATTATTATTATTATTATTATTATTTGATAAATTCAGTACTAAATTTATTTTTAAAATTTTTTTAAAATATTAAATTCTAAAAATTTGAAAAAAAAAACATAAATTAATAAATTTAAAAAAATGTTTAATTTCTGTTTACTTTCAATTTTATTGTATAAAATTTTTTTTATACAATTTTATTTTTTTGCTTTTTAAAAAAGAAAAAAATATTAATTTAAATTTACGATACAATTTAAAAAGCAGTGGATTGTGAAAAATTTTGTACAAGGACAAATTTTTCTTTTCTATTTTAAATTTCAATTTAATTTGTCTTTTTACTTCGTTTTTTTTTTTTTTTTTTTTTTGTTCTCGAAGAATATAACAAGAAAAAAATGCTTTCGTGTGATTTAAAGAACAGCTTTAAAAAATCTCAAATTTTATGTCTGGGATTTTTTTTTTTTTTATATATAGTTTTACGATATATATATATATATATATATATATATATATATATATATATATATATATAAATAAAGAACTTACCGGAAGTCTCAGTATTATTTGTATTTTCTTTACTCTTCGTTTTGGATTCCTTCGTTGATTTAAATTCGTCTTTTGATTCTTTTCCAAAATCTTTGGAATCTTTGTGATCCATCGTCGTCATGCCTCTCATAATAACTGATTCCCATAACATTTCTTTTCCCATCACAGGACTGAGAATTGGAGTAAATGTTGTTGTTGATGAATGACTTCGTCTTGAAATATTTCGCCATCTTCGACACCATGTTTCCTGTAATCATAAAGAAAAAAAAAAAAAAAACGATTAGAAAAATATTAAAAATTTTTTTTTTTTTTCAGTACCATATAACACCTAAATAAGATTATTAATTAATAATATTAAAAACATTAAAATTAACAAATTTTTAAAACTAAATGAAAATTAATTTTTCTTTAACGAATTTGTTCTATATATATATATATATATAAATGACCCACATTTTTCATACGAGAAAAAGAGTTAGAGAGAGAGAGAGAGAGAGAGAGGGAGATGCCATTTCCTAGATTATATTGATATGATAAAATATGAGTTGTACCTCTTACCATATATTGTACTCAAGGAGCAAATCTTAAACGTAATCTGAAGAATATAATCTCTATCTTACATATACTAACTCGACCCAATTCGAAGGTCTCTGAAATTGCAAACTTAATCCCAAGAAGGATGATAATGAGAGGCCTTAATATATATATATATTTGCAACTTGAAAATTGTATCTTAATATTTTGTGACAAAAAAAAATTTTTATGTAAATAATTATAATAATTATTTATTATTATAATTCAAATTTTGTTAAACAATTTTTAATTTTAATATATATGATGATGATAATAATAATAATAATAATAATAATAAAAATAATAGTAAACAATAATAAAAATAATAATAATAATAATAATAATAATAATAAACAATATTAACTGTTACGTAATGCAACATAAATAATAATTTAAACAATGGTTGGTTACACTTGATATGGAATGACCCATATGAATATAGCCGCAAGTCCCCCCCCCTTCTACCCACCCTCGCAAAAAATGACCTAAATTTTAAGGTTATGTTCGTTTCAAGACTCCGAATAGGGCCGCATGTCCTCCCCCTAAATTTTTTGGTTATGTTCATTTCAAGACTTATTCAATATAGCCTCGCAAGTCCCCCGTCTCTCCCGCCAAAAAATGAAATAAATTTTGAGATTATGTTCGTTTCAAAACTGAATAGAGCCGAAAGTTCACCCCTCTCTCAGTATTTCCCGCCAAAAATGAATTTAAATTATGAAGTTATGTTCATTTCAAGACTTTCAATATAACCACAAGTGAAGGTAGATTTCTTGCCAAAAATGACCTGAATTTAAAGGTTATGTTCGTTTCAAGACTGTGAATATAGTCGCAAGCCCCCCCCCCCTCCTTCCTTACGTTGAAAGAGAGGTGGATTTTCCGACGAAATTGAACTAAATTTTAAGGTTAAGTTATTTTATCGAGAAACGACCAAGAAACAAACATAACCTCAAAATTTAGGGCAAAATTTGGCGCAAAAAGACAAAGAAACAAACATTATCTCAAAATTTAGGTCAAACTTTGAAGGAAAATGACAAAAAAAAAATGAACCTAACCCTAAATATAGATCAAATTTTAGCTGGAAAAATTTTAAAAAATAGATAAATTATTATTGTCTAAATTACAATTTTTTTTAATGTTAATTTATTTATAATTTTCTAAATTATTATTAATTTTTATCAATTTTTAATAATATATCCTAATCTTTCAATAATATATAGTTAAAATTATTTAAAAGTATTTTAATTATTTATAATAATTATAGATTATTTAATTCCATTATTATTTAATTATTATTAATTTTTATTAATTTTATAGATTTATTATTTAATTTTAATAATATTAACGATATTACAATCATTCAATATTTTGATATTCATAATAATGATTATTACAAATATTTGCCATACTTTTAAGATTAGAATTATAGAAAGAATGCATTCAATTTTAAGAGAAAAATAAAAACGGAAAAAATATACAGATGATAATAATAATAATAATAATAATAGTAATTCTAGTGTTGAGATTATTTACATTTTATAATTTGCATTTAAAATGTAGTACCACGTGGCGGGAAAAACTAAAGTGATTTAAATTTTAAACATCTTTAGTTCGTTATACGATCCTCTCTCTCTCTTTCATAAGTTTATGGATCGTTATTAGCTCGTTTCCATTTCATTAAAAGCCAAGGAGAAATCGAAAATTGTAGAATCCTCATATTCTACTTTTTGTTAAAAATTAAACAAAAATAAGGTTATAAAATAAAGAAGACGAATAGATTATTTAATACAATATCTAATTTAATATTTGCATTAATTTTTTTTTTAAATTCACCAATTTAATCTTTACTTAAACATATAATTAGATTTTATTTAAAATTAATAAATGTTAAATAATTAATTTAATATAAGGATAAGAAAAAAGTTAAATCATCTAAATAAAATATTATTTTCGAATAATAATAATAATAATAATAATAATAATAATAATAATAACGTAAATAAAAATTAAGTTTCATTTTCCGTTAAGTAAAACTGAGTTTCAGTTTCATACAAAAGATTAAGTGTATTTATCATATCAACCATTCTGCTTTCGGTTGGATTTTCAATATCGTGCATTTTCAATATCAACATATCATTTTCATACCTCTTATCAACAAGAACAAATTTCAGTTCAGGAAGAACGATATAATTTATATTTATATCTTCAAAAATGCGATTCATATTCATTATACCTGCTTGATTTCTAATTTCAATTTCATACATTAGTTTTTGAGATGAAGGATTTGATCCACTGTTGGTATCAAATGATTGTATTTCACGATTTGAAGAAAATAGTTTAATTTGATCAAATTTAATATAATCATTTATTTTACTTGAGGCATGAATTTGATTTAGTTCTACAGATGAAATTGCTAAATAAATTTTAATTGGTTCTTTAATCCAATTTTCATTACACTGTCTAATTGCAATTCGATAAATAGCTGCTAAAAATCTTCTATTATTATCTAAATTAAATGTTAATGTATAATGCCAATGTGAATAGAATGCATAATAATCTTCAAAACGAAGATATCGTCGATAATTAATTAATTTCTTATAATTATCAAATACAATATCAACTGGTTGCTCATAGACATGATTATAAATTACATTAATTCTATGTCTGGCTTCATTTGCATCTTTTATTTTATCTAAATTTTTTTCAAATAACAAATCATCAATGTATTTCGCATTTTTAAATTTATATATACTATAAGAATTAATCTCAGCAGTTTTCAATTTAGAAAAATCTTGTGCAAATTTTTTATAAGTTGGTACTGAACTTGAAATTGATTTTAATCGTAAAATGTAATTTTTTAAAATTGTCTTTGCAATAAGATCTGTACACATTGGTATTTTCTCAACCATAATATTTACTGCTTTTTCAATAATTTTCATTCGTGGTAAATAATTAGATTCTATTTTATTCAATTCTTCTAAATCATTAAGTCTTTGGTTTTTCCAAATATTCTTTTCTATTGTTTGAGATTTCATATCTATTGTTAGAATATTATTTTTATTATAATAAGTATTTGTTATCTTAAAAAATACATCGCTAAATGTTATATAACTATGCTGTAATTTTTTGTCAAGTTGCGATACATCAACAACACCATACTCAGAATCAAATATTACATGAAACCAAACTTCTTTACTGTGTTGAAATAAATTATTAGATGGAACTGGTACTTTGTCACTTAAATAAGTAATATCATTGAAGAAAAATTCTTCTCCTTTCATTATTTCAAATTTTTTAATAATTACTGGCTGTGTAATAATTTGTTTAGTCCAAAATTCCTTTTCTTTTAATGGGAAATTTAAAAATGGAGTTTTCATTTGTTCTAATGCTAAATTTGTTAAATCTAATCGAAATTTTTTATTCAATACTTCGTTCAACTTAATATAGTATATTCCCAATTCTTTGAAGGCTGTAAAAACATTAAAAAAATTATAAGAAATTAAATTTCGATTTACTGCAATTTGTTTAGACGTCCCGGGAATATTATCCAAATCAATTTCATCTGCTGTTGTCTTTAAACTTTCAGTGTCTTTCATAACTGATTTAGAATCTTCCACAACTTTTGGAATTACATTTTCTGTTGAAAGAATAGAATTCTGAATTAGAATTTTAATTCTGCTTGATTTAAACTATCAAAACAATTTTATCAAATGGAGAAATTAATTTTCACATTTTTATTTTAATGAAATAGAAATATATTTCTATTTGATATACCTGAAACATCAGAGCTCACAATAGGATTTTTATCATCATGCTGATTAAAATTAACTGCTTCATCAGAAGGATTTAAATTTCCTTCCTCCAAATTATTATTTGCGACAGTTTGTTTTGACGTCCCGGGAATATTATCCAAATCAATTTCATCTGCTGTTGACTTTAATCTTTTAGTGTCTTTCATAACTGATTTATAATCTTCCACTACTGTTGGAATTACATTTTCTGTTGAAAGAATAGAATTCTGAATTAGAATTTTAATTCTACTTGATTTAAACTATCAAAACAATTTTATCAAATGGAGAAATTAATTTTCACATTTTTATTTTAATGAAATAGAAATATATTTCTATTTGATATACCTGAAACATCAGAGCTCACAATAGGATTTTTATCATCATGCTGATTAAAATTATCTGCTTCATCAGAAGGATTTAAATTTCCTTTCTCCAAATTATTCTTTGCGACAACTTGATTTAACGTGCCGGGAATATTATCTAAATCATGATTATTAATTGCCTCTACTACTGGAATTGACACCTTTTTTTTTCTCTTTTCTGGAATATCCAAATCAATTTCATCTGCTGTTGACTTTAATCTTTTAGTGTCTTTCATAACTGATTTATAATCTTCCACTACTGTTGGAATTACATTTTCTGTTGAAAGAATAGAATTCTGAATTAGAATTTTAATTCCGCTTGATTTAAACTATCAAAACAATTTTATCAAATGGAGAAATTAATTTTCACATTTTTATTTTAATGAAATAGAAATATATTTCTATTTGATATACCTGAAACATCAGAGCTCACAATAGGATTTTTATCATCATGCTGATTAAAATTAACTGCTTCATCAGAAGGATTTAAATTTCCTTCCTCCAAATTATTCTTTGCGACAGTTTGTTTTGACGTCCCGGGAATATTATCCAAATCAATTTCATCTGCTGTTGACTTTAATCTTTCAGTGTCTTTCATAACTGATTTAGAATCTTCCACAACTTTTGGAATTACATTTTCTGTGAAAGAATAGAATTCTGAATTAGAATTTTAATTCCGCTTGATTTAAACTATCAAAACAATTTTATCAAATGGAGAAATTAATTTTCACATTTTTATTTTAATGAAATAGAAATATATTTCTATTTGATATACCTGAAACATCAGAGCTCACAATAGGATTTTTATCATCATGCTGATTAAAATTAACTGCTTCATCAGATGGATTTAAAATTCCTTTCTCCAAATTATCACCAGGCTGATTAACATTTACTACTTCATTAAATGGATTTAAATTTCCTTCTTCCCAATTATTTTTCAAATTTTTTTTCCAATGCACTGACAAATGGTTTACTATATAATTACGTGTTATTTTCACATCTACATCTAGATTAAGATAGGGTATAACTCTACGGAGAATATCATTTCTTTCCATTTCTAATTTATCATCAGAAATTTTATTTGTTGTTGGATTATATTCACGATAGGAAATTTTGTTCAAATCATCTTTTATTGGCACAACGGGAACTTGAAATGGATTCCCTTCGATGGTTCTTAATTCTGCAGTATTACCAAATGATGATATACAATTTGGTCCAAAATAATTTTCACCACCAGGATAAATGTATTTGATGACTTTATAGTTATCTTTCTGATAAATAACTTTTGGTATTAGTCCAGTATGATCAGGTAGCAAATTTTTATTATTACCAATTTTTATGTCAGATTTCATTGATAATAGAAGATTTTTAACTTCTGGAATGAATTTTGCACTCAATTGTGAGCTATGAAATAATTTACGTAATAATTGATAAGAGAATTTAGATAATTTATAGGCTAATTCAAAGCCAGGATCCAAAATTTGTAGGAAGGTAATTGATAAATCTTTAAGAAAACCTTTAATGAGACATTTTTCTGCAACAATTTGAATAGCTGATTTATAAATTCGTGATATTAAAGTAGTTAATGGTAATTTAACAATTTGTCCTGATACACTCCAAAATGATTGTGTTTGTATTCTAGCAATAATGTTATTCAAAAATATATTTGAAGATTTTGATGCAACTCCTGCCATAGATACAATACTTAAAGCATCTAAAGTACAACTAAATCCTGCTTGTACTTGGTTATTTATGTTTATACTTTGAACACAAGTATAAAATGGTATAAGAGATTTTAAAAAATCTATTACTTTCTCTCCAACTGTTGGCTCATTGAAATAATTTACTAAATTGTTTATAAATTCATTGGTTTTTATATCAGCAACTCTTTCAATAAATTTTGTTAAATTTTCTTTATCATATTTTAGATACTTTCCAAATGGATATATTTCTATTTTTAAAGAAGGATCATTAGCAACTGCTTTACCATATTCTTGTTTATTATTATTATTTCTTTGAAGTAATGTCAAAGTATTATTCACTTGTTTAATGGCATAATAATTGGGTATTTTATTTTCTACTATGGCAAATAGTAAATATATATTTTTATTTTTTTTTTGGCGATGGTGGAACCAATGTCGAATACATATGATAATTAGAAACATATGCAAATCGAACTGTTGTATTTATTTTTATTTTTTCTATTATATTACCATCCTTTAAAACTTTTTTCAATGAATTTTGTTCAATTTGATTAAATATTTTTCGTACATTATTAAATTGCAGATTATATTTTTCTTCTAAATTAGGAAGATCGTCACAATGCTTAGGAAGATATAAAAGTTTAAATAAAAATTGTGAAAACTTATATACATCAACAAAATGCGGTCTTATTTTAGTAATATTTTTATGGCAAATCGAATTAAGTATTTCAGTGGCAATAATCGTTCGACTTTTTAATTTTTTAAATTCCTCTTCCATTTTGTATTGTAAACTTTTTTTAACTTCATTATTTATTGTTTTTACTATTGTAATATTAGCAAAATGAAAATAATTTTCATATACCTTATGCCAAAATTCATTATTAAGTGATGATAAATTTTCTTTTCGAAATTCTTTCTTATATTTGCGAGCGTAATAAAATAATGCCGGCATTGCATATAATTCCAATATCAATTGATGTGTTTCATTGGTAAATGTTTGAAATTCAATTGCTTGCGATAGAAGAATATAATTTTGAAATGTTTGATTTTCAATATCATCATTAATTGAACGGGCAATTTTTAAACCAACCATTGCGTATGTATAATTCAAATCAATTATTTTCATATTATTTTCCTCTGGTTTTGGAAATAGAGACCAAATATTTTCATTGAATACTTTTTCAATTGTCAATGATGTCAATTTAATTGTTTCATTATTTGTCCAACAATGATTATGATTTGTATAATTTTCTGAAAAGTGTTGAAATACATTTTCCTTAAATTTTGAATATGTTATATTTTTTCCTCTATTAATAATTCCAGCCAAATATCCAGTAATGTGTCCATAGTGAAAAAATAGAGCATTGTCAATTATATATTCATATGTTTCATTAACGTATTTTATGTCGAGTGTTTCATTTTGCCCACCACCATAAAGATCACTTCCTTTTAGTATTTTTTGAAGAAGTTGAAGTTTTATCATTGATTCATTTTCAGTAGAATTATTTAAATATTGAAAAAATGTATTCAATACAATAACAGAATTATTTCTCTCTTCGAATGAAATTAAATTCAAATTGTTAAAAATTAAACCCAAACTATTGATATAATGACAAACTGAAAGAAATTGAAAACTTCTGAGCTCTTGAATGGGTACTGTTTGGTTCATTTTCTTAGAATTAATTAACAACTTTTTTCTTAAAATCGGTATTCAAAGAATCTGAAATTAAAATTTTTATATGAAACTTAAAAAAATTTAGCAGATTTTGTATTTTAAAAAAAACTATTAAAAACTTACTATACGTATTATTCTTTGTCAGCAAAATTATTTGAATAGACGAAAAGTAGTTATAACTGAATATTCACTTCGTTGACTAATTTATATGTAAAAGTAATAATTATTTATCTTTTTAAAGTTAAGAAAATATTTTTAAAATTCACGATCTATTTCAATACTTTTGCACGCTTTTGTAATTTAAAAAAAATATTTTCATAAAAAACAATATTATACGTTCTATTTATCAAACTGAATTTTATTAATTTTTTATATTCCAAGTTGGTAAATAGATAATTATTTACTATTGTTTGATAAACTGATATTTTTTCAAGGATTCAGTTTTTTACACGTGTTGCTTTATTGCTTTAAAATTTTTAAAATTTATTTAAAATGTTAACTTTTTTTTGGCTTAAAAAACTTGTTATATGTTGTAATGATCTGACTTTTATTGCCAAATGATTTTCTCGCCGGATGGAGTCCGGGTACCTATTTTGACTAATTACTTTAAATCTCGGTAAATAACGTGAAGCGCCATCTATGTTTCGATTGATTTCAGAACTATTTCTTACTATAATGTAGAGGAGAGGCATAGTCATTGATGAGTCTTTATTTAAATCTTCGAAAGAGAATGTATTGTTTAAATAAAAGAATAATAAAATATACAAAAATGAATTATTACACAAATTAATATAGGAACGAATCAATCTATACAATGCAAATAAAAAATTAATCTCTAGAAAACATAACGATAAAAGAACAAGCTATTCTAGAAGAGCATTCGCTGAGCTCCGATCGCGCTTGTCATCAATCCAGAATAAAGCGGATTTAAACATATTTACCACGTTCGCGAAGATGTTGATGAGGGTGACGCATATTACTTTCTTACTTTCGCGTAGGGTACATTCTAAAATTTACCCCCTAGACGACGGTACGGACGGATACTAGGGTCGTGCACGCTAGATCAATTATTATTCGTAATCAAGAAGAAGCTAGATATTGGATTTGGTTCCAATATTTATGCGCGACGCAAAGCTAGTGCAAAGTAATATTCACTAGATGTCTCCTTTACCCGAGAAGCTCCGCGAGATGGGGAATCGAACTAGTGTATCATCTTTGTCAAGAGAGGAGCGAGTCTACTCAACAAGGACAGTTCTGGTGGCAGTGAGTGGGTAACCTGGTTCACCAGTCTTCCACGGAAGCGCCCATAGGAATTTCGGTTCACCAGGAGGAAGAAAGGTGAAGGGTGTTACTATTCCGCATGAGCGCCTACAGGAATAAGTACAGCTTCTTCTAGGAAGTGAGAAAGTCTCCGCGGTGTTCAGAGAGACGCACCTCTACTGAGCGCCAGGTAGCCAGGAGTAAGTCGCTTCCAATAGTCAGAGAAGCACCTCTAGACGAGTCGGAAGAAGACTGAGGAAAAGGTGCGAGACGAAAGGTATATTAGGGAAGGGATAGGGATACCTATAGGGAAGGGATACCATCAGAGGTACTTCCGGCGCTGCTGGAAGTGTGTAAGTTGGCTTCCCAGCGTCGAAATCCAGTGACAACTGTTCTGTAGTATTGGAGACTAGGTACAGCAGCATCCAAAGCCATAAGCACCTTCTTAACGTTCCCCAGGTCAGTTTGGAAAGACTTGGTAGTGGAACAGGAAGCGCTTTAAGCGTCAGCAGCGGAAGAATTTTGATTCCATCCGACCTTGAAAAACGAGACAATCGAAGAAGAACGCGAGAAGTGTAAAAAGCAGGACGAAGCTGAGTGTCTTTAGAGGATCGAAAAGAAGATCAAGATAGTAAAGTCTTGCGAAGTTCAGAAGAATGTCAACATGACTATTAAGAACGGACTTAAGACTCTTCAGAATCTTGTTAGAGAAGACCATCAGTCCTAGCTGATTAATGGAGATAGCAAACCTGGTGGTGCTACAGGCTACATAGAGATGAACCAGGAGAACGGTAAACAAAAGGAGGTACCTCTTGTCAAAAAAGATTTCCAAAAGCGACGATAGCACCAAATTCTAAGCAAGTAGAAAGAAAGCAACGAGTGGATCAACAATGATAATTCGAGTCTCAACAGAAACAACGTATGCCGATGTACTGAGCAAATTTCGTAAGGATGTGAATCCGGACATCAGTCACGAGGTCGTGGTTGTAAGGCCAACAAGAAAAGGAGATCTCCTGATGAAAATCGGAGAAGTCTCCAATAAGGAGACATTCATTTCTGAGGTCACCAAAGCGGTTGGAAGCATGAGGAATGTTTTGACTATGAATCAGCAGGTCACACTGGAGATCCGCGACCTAGATTGCCTTACCCAGGAAGAAGAAGTCCAACAGGCGTTGGCGGAAGTGCTCCAGAAGCCAGGAAGCAAAAGGGTAATAATTCCTAGGACCCAACCGACTAGGAATGAAGTTCGTAGTTGTTGTTTACCGACCCAAAGGAGACGGACAGGGTGGAAAAATTTTGATGCATAAGGATTATTTTTATATGTTGTCCAATAAAAAGAAGGGTGATGCGGTAATTTGGTACCATCGGTAAATGGCGAACGGCCACATTGGAAGAGTTTGTAAGGCAGCTGACACATCGACTGCGTGCTTTAAATCCGGTGAAGTTGATCATAAGTTTGCAAACTGTAGTCGAAGCCCAATCTGCTTCTTATGTAGAGAAATATTATTATTATTGTAAAATTTTGCTGTAATGGACTACAAACTTTATTATAATATTTTTTCGAAATGTAAAATTACTTGTTTGAAAAATGTAAATTTTTTTGGTGGGGTTTTTTTTTTTTTAAAAAAAATTTTAATATCTTCATATTGAGAGGTAAATTTTGTTTCTTTTTTTTTATAACCACTACTATTACTACTGTTAAAGAAAGAGATAACATTTTGTTAAAATCGAAATATCAGTGTTTTTGGCATAAGACCAAAAATTCTCCCAACTACTAAAAGTAAACTGTGGAGAATGCAACAAAAGGGAAATTGTTTTTTGTCGCTCACTTGGACTAAGAAAATATCTCTCAAAACGTGAGAGACAAAAGAGCCATAGAAAATTTATCTTTCTTTATTAAATCAGAGACTTTAAACTCATTTTGTAATTAATGCTGCTCTTTTAACATATTAAATTTTAATTAAATGATAAAAATAAATAAATAAAAGTAGATTTATAAATAGACGTACATAATAGTAATAATAAAAAATTATTTTTAGTTTAATAAAAAAATGAAATAAAGAAACTTTTTCTGTTTTGTAATAATTATTTTCTATACAGAAGAATTTATTTAAAAAATGTTGTTTTAGTAACTTTTGAAATTATTTACTTTACATATTATTATTGTCATTATTTATTAATATTATTATTTCTGTTATTTTTTATTATTTAAAAATTTTTTTTTTATTTTTTATATTATCATTTGTATCATATTAAAATGAAAAAAATTCATTTTTGAGTGCTTTTTAACATAAAAGTAGTAGATAAATAAATATTTTTCTTTTTTTGTTCTTTTCCTTTAGATATCTATGTATAAATGTGAAATGTCAAATCGTAAATTTCAAAATGAAATAAAAAAGGACTTGTAGACATATTTTATTTCACCTTATATATATATATATATATATATATATATATATATATATATATATATATGTATATATAAATATGAAGTATTATTTTATTTTATGGAAAGTAGAAATTTTTTCAAGTATCATTCTCAAGGGAAAATTTTATGATAAAAATTTTAAATTCACGTCGAGTTTACCTCATTGGAGATTCTCAATGATATGGAAACAAAATTTGTTTGTCGTATAAATAAAAAAATAAAAAAATAAAAAATCTTAAAAACTCGAAATGGAGACATAAAAAACATTTTATGTTTAAATGCATATTTTTTTTAGATATAGAAACCAGAAATTATTATTTATCCAATATGAAAAAGAATTGTCCAAATATTTCTTTTTTTTGACACACAATTTTTTTTTAAATTTTGAATTTAACAGAAAAAATTTTTTTTTGCACTTTCAAGGTTTAAAATTAATTATTTGACTATAATTACATTTATATAAACAAAATTAAATAAAAATATATAAAAATTCTTTGTCAATTTAAATTAAATACAATTGCACGCTGAAAATAAGGTTGTTGCATTATTTATTTAACGTGGACAACACAAAAATAAAATGCATCAATGCCGCCGTGTATTTGAATTAGAACGTGAAATCAATTTTCTCTATTTAGGGCGAGTTAAAATAAATTAATTCTTTATATACAAAACAGTGACACACTTTTTTTAAATTAAAATGGAAAAAAAATTTTTAAAAAAATTATTGAGGTTATGTTCGCCTTTTAATCAAGATAAGTGATCTAATTTTGAGGTTATGTTTGCCAATTTTAATCTCATTTAAACTAATTTTAAGGTTATGTTTGCCTCATGATAGAAGTGAAAATTAACTATAAGATTGTTTAAAAGAAAATTAGTAAAAAAAAATTTTTTATAATAATTTATTATAATAATATTATTATAATAGTTATAAATAATTATATACATAATATGAAAATATATATATATTTTTTTTACTTTTTATTATTATAATTATTTTTTTTTTTTTTTTGAGAGAGAGAGAGAGAGAGAAAATTAAAGTTTAACGAAAAAAAGTTTTATTTTTTTGAGGTTATGTCTAGGTAAATTAGTCGCGCGTCAAAACTTTGTACTTTCGGCATACATAACCTCAATGTGACAGTAATTGATGCTTCGTAAACTACTAAAACGGTCTACACGGGTAGAAATCCCCCAAGGCCTTTGACCCAAAAGTCGCTAACTACTCTCACAAACCCCAAAATTACTCGCGGCAAGCCAAGAGGAATTTCTTGTTAATTTGTTAAAGAACTTGCTTTCACCTAAAATTTACTTCAAAGATATTTGCTATTCACACAATTTATATATGTATCAACAAAGTTATCAAAAAAAAATTTAATTCGAGTTTAATAAAAAAAAAATTTATTTTGAGGTTAAAATTTTTTTTTTATTTTCATTATTTTAAATTAATTTGCAGATTTACATTAATTTTCTATAAATAAATAATAAATAATAATAAATAATAATAAA